GCACACGCACACACACCAACCCACCCACACACACACACACACACACACACACACACACACACACACACACACACACACACACACACACACTAGCTCCACAGAATAGAACTGGCAATGCTATAGACCTACGACAAGCTTGCACAGCTTCTAAAGCACTTCTGGCCTAGTCTATATGCTGTGAGCCACATGCTTTGGATGCATCGTGTGCTGGGTATTTGCTACAGTCAGTCACTGTTTGAAATATCTAAGGAGGATTATATAATTAAATACTCAAATAGCACAATGTAGTAGGTACCATTATCATTTCCAGACTCTCTTAGACCCATATTGGGTCTCGGGACAGCTGCTGCAGCCCCTTTGAGCAGGTTGCTTTCATTCCTGGGACACAAATGAAACGGGTACTCTATTTCACATAGGTTCAATGAAAAGAGGAAAAAGATTTCTTGAGTTTATCCGTTGATTTTCAAGACTGAATCTACAAAATCAGTGGTAATATTTGTTGTGACTCCCTAAGAAGAAGAACAAATGAGCATTCAGAAAGGGAAGAAGCCAGGCAGTGGTGCCACACGCCTTTATCCCAGCGCTGGAGAGGCAGAGGCAGGTGGATCTCTGTGAATTCCAGGCCAGCCTGGTCTACAGAGTGACTTCCAGGACAGCCAAGGCCACACTGACAAACCCTGTCTTGAAAACAAAAACAAACTAAAAAGAAAGGAAGGAAGGAAGGCAGGAAGGAAGGAAGGAAGGAAGGAAGGAAGGAAGGAAGGAAGGAAGGAAGGAAGGAAGGAAGGAAGGGGAGAACTGTCCCTTAACAGCTTAACATTTTGGGGAAGGGTTGGAGAGAGGCAGGGAGGGTTAGTACTATGTTCAAACTGGAGACATGGGGATGCTGTAAGAGTGAATCTGGGTGACTGCCATGCAACTTTTAACAAGTAAAGCATAAACAGACATGGGAATTGATTTCAGAACCAACCAATATCTGTTTGCAAAGATTGCAAGACTAAAAAATGAAGACGACTTGCCTGGAACCATCCATTTGAGACCCAACTCTCCAATTCTCAACCCAGAATTCCTCTCTCCAGGTCTCCAATTCTCAAGCCAGAACAGAACTCTATTCTCCTTGGTGGTCTTAGAAGACAAACAAAACAGAACACGTGAGAGCGAAGAAGTCGGGCATTGGTACTCTTATTCTTCATTCTAATGAGGTATGTGACTTCTAGAGCAGGCACGTCCATCTTGTAGCCTTAGAGCTGCATGTAGCCAAACAGAATCCCAAACATACTTAACACATGAGGTTTCATGTTTGCTTTGCTTTTTTTTTCTTTTTTTCTGTAACCCAGTTGCTAATTCTCAACTGTGAACTTTGGGAATCACACAGTGTCACAATGCTAGAAGGTTGGGCACGCATGGACAGACCACTGTGCTCTTCCAAAGCTGAGGCCACACGGTGACTGTCTCTCTGCCCCCAGGCCCTTCTTGCTCTCCTGTTCATCTTCCTTTATCACATGGAAGGCACAGGTTTCTTTAAGAGTAGTCATCCTGGCAGCAAAGAATATAATTTTTTTTCTTTTCCCACACACATTTGGAAATGACATGCATAAAACCACAAGGCACAAATAAAATAGACAAGTCAAAATTTTCCTCCAGCATTTGGCAGGTTGGTGAAGCATCACGGTTAACAACATCGCCACATTATTTGTCAGACAAGGAATTACACACTGAGCAGACCAGTCTCCAGCTGGAAGGGGAAAATGTGTGACTTCCGGGGGAACTAGGAAATGACAAGGGTGTCACTTTCTGTTCCTTCTCCAACTTGCCTCTAGAAATGCCCGAAAGAAAAGGGGCATCGGGAAATATTAACTGATAGAGGAAGTAAATGTGATTTGATGCTGAGTATTAAAAACCAAACCAAACTTAGTATAGATTGCTAATCCAGTCTCTCTGATAACTCAGAAAGAGGAGAAGACAGGCTCAAATTCCTGGTCCCATGCTCGCCATTCCCTAGTAATTTAGCCTGTTTTTCTTTTCCAGTCCCTTAATATGAACATCTGTGGACCACTTGCCTGCCATTCTTTCAGCCCTTCCCCTGGCACCATCCATTGAACCTTTTCTGTGAAGATCACTCATTCCAGAGTTAAGCCTTATGGCTTGGAAGATGGTCCTTCCTCCTCTGCAGCATCAGGGTAGGCCTTGGCCACTGTTTTTATTCTATCCCTCTAGCCCAAGTTATTGGTTCTCAAATAGGATGGGACGTAAAGAAACCCTCAGAGATTCAGGAGCATGGATAGACTTGTCTGGTGCATTAGACATGCACCAGGGTGGAACGCACGAGCTGTTTAATATGAAAAACATTTGCCTGGGAATGAACTGAGACGAGAGCAAAGCTCCAGGGACAGCAGCACAGAGTGAGCGACTACATCCTGATGAAAGAAACATGGAAGCCTTTTGCTGGCTACGGTAACGATGGAGCCATTCTAAAGTCATTCAGGGCATAAAATGGGATTTCACATAGAAGGAAAACACAATGCTGCCAGGAACCTTGCTCCTCCGTGTGGGAGAAGGCGCACACAGATATCAGTGGAGGAAAGAAATGGAGCAGCCTGTGGTGGGGATCAGAGTTACAGGACACAGCCAGAGGCACAAGCCATCCTAGCAGCAGCAAGCACACTTGGTTCTCCAGCCTTGGCTTTTCAGTGCCATTCTCCTTTGGGATGAGCCAGAGACCCTAGAAAAATGTGTGACTACATCCAGGAGCAGGGCAAGGGATACACAGGGTGCTTCAGGGGCAAACATTTGTGATAAAGAAGGAAATACTCAAAATAGAGCAAACCTGTCAAAAGACACAAGATCCAGCTTGAAGGGCCTTTCAGAGAGCAGAATCAGAACAAACGTAAAAACAGAAGTAATCAGTTTTAAACAGATCAAAGAGAAATATCAATGTTTGGGTCCACCAAGATATATAAGAACACAGAGAGGAGACAGTGGGGATCAGCTCTATAGGAGAATGTGGGATGATACCTGTACAAAAACAGATGAGAAAATGGCCATTTTATAACCTGCAGGTCCGAATAGACACGGCTCATCGATGGTTCTAAAACTGTAGGGAGACAGGCTTGGGGGAAGAGTGGCTCATGTGGTCACAGACTACTTATGAATTACAAACAGAAGCAGGTGTGTTTAAGTGGTGAAGTCTAGCCAATGCCATCTTAACCTGGCGATCAAGTTCAATATCACCCTTGGGGCAAAGTGCCATGGTGTGGTTTCTGGTGGAATGCCTAGAAAGAACACAGGCTTATCCAGATGGAATCCTCACTGAATCTGAACACTGAGGGGAGAATAAGACAAGTCCCTGGTATGGATTTACTATAGGCACCTGGTCCCCACCATTGCTATGAATGACAATAACAAAAATCAGCAGAAGACTGGAACACAGTAACCTGCTGCACCCACCCCAATAGGTGATCCTTCACTGATCCCCAGATGAAAACATTGTTATAGAGGATATTTGGGGGATAACTGGGAAATTGTGAAGATGGAATGCACACACACTTGTGATTATATTTGCTCTAACTGTCATCATATAGTACAGTCTTTGTAATATTGGAGGTACACAAGAAAATAAGATATCAACTCACCTCCCCAGTGACATAAAAGCCATTCTTCGCATACTCAGGGAACATCTGGAAAAACTGGATCAGTGCGCTGTGGAAGAGAGGACAATGAAATTGAGTGGAGGAATGCGTCAGGGTGGCTGGCTGCCATGCCTCACCAGCTGGGGGGAAGGAGATACCACTGGGCTGTGCACTCCTCTGCTGAGTGGTTTTAGTCCTGAGTGGGTAATGCTGCAAATAGGTAGGCTGATACTGCCATACTAAAGAGTAGGGACACTGAACCTCATCACAGGCACGTTCAAAACCTGTGATTGCCACTTTGGATCATCTAGCTGCTGAGGTGTCCACATACTGTTGGGCAATTTTCATTTAAACCTTATGATGCTGTTAGGCCAGATTTGTGGGGAGAAAATGCAAAGTTCAGCTTCTCATCAACCAGCCATTGTGGGGGATCTAGACTATTCCTCAAAAGAGCTCCCAGAATGCTGCCTCTTTAATTAGAACACCAAAGCTCTTAAAACAGAAGAGAGAAAAGGAGAGATGGAGGAAAAAAACCCGTGGCCACTGGAGTGACCTATGCTCAAACAGCTTGAAATGGGCTGCTGGGGGTGTTTCACAGTAAGGAAGAAAAGACCAGCTGACTTTTAAATGTCTTTACCAAAGTCTTTCCAAATAGGAGATAAAAAAAAAAAAAAACAAAAAAAACCATGAAACTCAGGCACTCTAGGAATGTCTTGACCTGGACTGCAAGGCCTGAGAAGCCAGGCAGGTCCCAGCTTCCTGCTGAGGGACTAAAAGCCATGAACCTTCCAGGGAAGATGAAAGGCAAGGGAGCTCTGAAAAGCAAGGAGTGGGAGAGAGTTCAAGGGTTACAGAGAGAAAAGCTCAGTCATTATGACCACCATGATCTCTGCTAGACTTCATTTTCAAAGGCTCCATAAAAATCCACTGCCATGGTGTTTTGGTGCATTCTCTACTTGTTATTTATAGTGGCTTTGGGGAGCTAAGTTTGGGAGGCTGCATTTTGATAGTTTCCACGTTAGGGCTGGCAGTAAGCTGCCTTTAGAACAGGGTAAAAATAGGAGTGCATTCTCCACCCTCCCCTCAAGAACCTTGGGGCTAAAAACCACTTCCCTTCCTCCCTTCCTGCTGTCTGGAATGGCACCAGCTTATTTACTATAGTAAATTTCAAGTCTCCTGCTTTAACTTACAGGTTACTGCCTCGACATGTGATGGAGCGTTATTATGGTTGATAGGTTTAACAAATAAAAACTCAAGGTATCCAATTAAAATTAAAGTTCAGATAAATCATAAATAATGCTTTGGTCCAAATATTCTCTAGAATATACTGTGTGTGTGTGTGTGTGTGTGTGTGTGTGTGTGTGTGTGTGCATATGCATGCACGTATGAGTCAGATGTCTGTGCTGGCTCTGTTTTTCAATACTCTTCACCTTTGAAAGATACTTATATATAAAGAAATAGTCAATGTATATCTGATTTTCCCATTTAACTGGACATTTTGTGCTGTATTCGGCAGCCTAAATTGAAAGAGATAACCTCCTAAGTTACTTCTGGCTGGGAAGCACCAGCACAGTAGCTGAGGTTTCTAAAGCGAGAGCTTGCTCAAAGAGGCTATTGCTGGTTTCATCTCACAGTTCAGGTCTTTCCACAGACTGCCTGTTTTTTCAGTCTGTGGTAAGCAGTTCTTACACAGCAGTGAATTATGAAAATGGTAAATTCAGTCCCCAGAGCCACACACACTCCTTGCTCTTTTAACTGTACTTGAGGCAAGCACTATTCTGATGATATGGTGAGGCTCTGCTTGAAATGAAACCAGGACTTGTGTGCATTTCAAAGGTTAGCATAATGTTGGCATGTATGATGTACAAACCCGTGCAGCGTTTATTTAGGAATGAATGTTACCTGGCACAGAAATCTTGCATCATCACTATTAGACATCCCTGGTGGAACTGTGCCAAGGACTTCCCTGACAAACAGTGAAAGGCTATTTGCTCACAGAACAATACATTATTGAAAGGAGTGGCTTGGGAGCTATTACTCCTCAGACGACTTTTTGAGAAGGTCCTCTGGTGTACGTAGGACAGAGAAGGTGATGGAAGCGTGGTGTGCAACAGAGCCAGTGGCTGCAAGAGAATCTGATCAGTTCTGGTTGAATGGAAGTAATACGAACTCAAGAGACATTCAGGGGGCTTGAGGCTCAGAGCAGGAACTCCTCACTGTAACGATTTGAATCTGAAAGGTTTGCCAGATCTCCAGTTTTGACGGCTTAGCTCCAAGGCACAGGGGTGGGGCTTTGGGGAGGTGACTGGCTCACAAAGGTTCCCACTTTAGTAATAAATTAATTCACAAGTGGATTTACTACCTAATAGGCTATTGGGAGATAGAAACTTCAGGAGGTTGGGACTTATGGGAAGACATATGTCACCAATATGCCTGTTTGACAGGGTATAATTTGCCTTGGCCTCCTCCTCTTCCTCATTTTTACCTCCAGGCTGTCATGAGGTGAGAGCATGTTTGTGCCACCTCCATTCAGCTCCAAGAAGGTAATTTCAGAAGCTCTACCAGGCCATGAGCTCTAGGATGGCAGGGGCTGTGTGATGCCAGCTTCTCATGTCACTCTAGGAATACATCCAGTGATCAAGGGAGACTGGACAGCAAGCAGCACCAGGCAAAAAATTCTACATCAGAGTGAGGAAACTAGCTACACTTCATTCACATTTTTCTGAGTCAAGAGCTGCCCTGGCTCAGCAGCAAACATTCACAGTGTGTGTATGAACATGAGTGAAAAACTTTCTCTCGGAACACAAAGAAAGTAAGCAGAAACACAAATGCTAAATGGCTCTTTAAGAGGCCATTCCTTCCGGGCCAGGCACTGTTCACAAAAAAATAGAACTCCATCTTCAGGGCTAGGAAGTGATTGTGGGGGGAGAAGAAAGATCTGCTCTTTAACTCACCCACCCCCACCCCCGGTAGCCCATTTACTAGTTCCAAAGCAACCTTCTTATTGCAAACGCCCATCTGGCAAGCTGGAGAGAAGAATGCAGTCACAAAAGGAAACGAATAGTGTAAACTGTAAGGGAAACAGCTGAAATCAGTTTTCTGCACTGCTCTTGATTAGCTATTTTCCAGTTCTAAGAGCCTGAAGCAAAGGGACCTGAAACAGCTATAAACAACGACTGCTTTGAAATATGTCCCCTCTTCATGTCATGCAAGAGGAGACGGACCACATGTCAGCAGTAAACATCCACACAGAGGGTCAACTGCTAGCTGGAAGCGTCCTTGCTTCCGGCTTAGGGCCCGGGTGATTTGCAAAGCTCTGGCTTGCAAAGGGTGACCACATTTCTTTACTAGAGAGCCTCCAGCCTCGGAGCCCTTTGCTAGTTAAACAATGGAGTCAAAAGATCCTAGTAGTAAGGGATCCGGGTAGGTGTCTGACCTGAAGGAGAACACAGTGTCAAGTGGAGATGGGAGGCGCTTGAGTCAGCTTCTGAGGACGGGCACCACAGTCATGCCTATGCAGGGAGAAAGACAGTGGAGGTGGAGGCCAAAAGAGGTCCCTCTTGGAGGATCAGCTAGTATGGCCCCAGGAGCCACTGTGCCCGGGCTCAAAGGTATAAGCACCTAGGTATCCCTGCTGGAAACGGAACGCAAATGTTAAAAATCTTCAGGGATTGTATGTGGGAAATTAGAGAGCAGTCATATTTTTTTCTGGGTCAGTGGAGGGAAAGAAGGAGATCTCCTTGGCAGAAAATAAATAAAGACCAGGAAGCCAGCGAAAGCTGGGTCCCTAGGCTCCCTGTCCGATCTGCACAGGAAAAGAGGAGACACTTCTTTCCAGATCAGATACACTCTCCCCTTGGAGTCCTGCTCCTCGGTGCAGGGTTTGCTCACTGGGTAACTAGCAGAGTGAGTGAGCAAGTGAGACTGGCCATTAGGAGTCTTCTAGTAGATTCTCATGAAGCACGAAGGGTGCTCAGCAGCTCTGAGAGAATTCAGGCTTCTTCTCTACCAACAATTTATAGCCTGGAAAAATTTGACCAACTTAGAAAGGTCAACTTAGTTTTTTTTTTTTAATGTACTAAAAATAGATGTAAAGAATGCAAGAAAATGAAAGGAAAATTTATGTGTATATACTTTAACCAAGATCACAACTTTATATCCCGTCCCCCCACTTTTTTTTTTTTTAAGTGAAAGACAAATTTTGTAAGATGAAGGGGAAGGACAAAGACCATTTCAGTCTGGAAAAGTAATGACAAAGCTACAGAGTAAAGTATACATCTATATACTTTATAGATGAGCCACAGAAGGTGCCATTGTGGGGAAAGAAGACAAATGCTGCCTGGAAAAAGCGTTATCTCTTGGCGAGCACAAAGTTAAATAGGATTTTAGAGATAACTGAAAACTTGTAAGCCACCTGGGTGAAAGGCTTGAGAAGGAATCTTTGGTTGAAAATGTGTATTGTACCTCTACTGTTTCTTGTAGGACATTGTTGTAAAGCTTACATTCATGATTTAGCTCTGTTTACTCTGTCTTTTCCTCGGTATAAACAATAGACAATGACAAGGAGGGAAAGACCAGAAGAAACTGTGTTATGTGTGCACACTAATGTAGAAATGCTCTGCAAAGGCTTAGAAGTTGGGCAATAAGGACCAATCAGAAGCCACTCTACCACCAGATTTCTTATTGCCATAGATGGATGCCATACCTGTACAAGTCTTGAGCTACATCGTCCTCACTGACGGCATATCCCTCGAGACTGTCAGTGAAGCTGAAGCCTGTGCCCACCTGAGGAGGAAAGAAATGAAGATAAGCGTGAAGATACGTGTTCCCTGGAGACTTTCAACTAGACCCCACATTGGGAGTGGCCCCACTCATTCTAAATCCACACCTCTGACTTCAGATCTCTGCCATCATCCTGTGTATCACTGAGGCATTCTGCTTCCCTTGGAAAGGGAAGTACAGCAGGTTAGGCTGTTTGTATCTAGAAGTCTACATGGCAGATGGAAAATCCATTATTAAGCAACAACTCATGAGACAGGGAACCCACACCATCAGTGAAAGTCTACCCACCCCCTTTCCCAGTGGTCCCATTCAATGCTGTTTGAGATGGGAGGGGTCCTACAATGTAGGCTTGGCTAGCCTAGAGCTCATGATGTAGCTCAGGTTAGTCTTGAGCTCGCTATTCTACAGCCCCAGCCTCCAAATTTTCCACCATGCCTGGCTGCTTGTTTTGTAAATTAAATTCTAATCTAAAAAGGAAAAAAATCTATATTTTAGAAAACATACAGTATATGTTGCTCAATTCTAGTGACAACTTAAGCACTTGTTCTTGTAAGCCCATCATAGTGAGGACTCACACAAACCTAGAAGGAATAGTTATTCTACTGTTATTCTACATGTTATTCTACTTGGTACAGCAAGAATCTTCAGGACATGGCAGGTATCTGTATATCTAAACATGTGTAACGATTGAAAAGGCAAAGGAAAACACTGTTAACAGGAACATCTCAGCTCCTTGAGAGCCTTACAGAAACATCATTGTGTACATGGCCTGCTGTTGACCAAACGGCCATCATGCAGCTATCCTGTGAGTAATAAAAAAAAAAGACATATGCCAACACGGATGCTTCTGGAGTCCTGTGGTACTCACTGGATTGTCAATGTAAAGCATGGAAAAGGTAGTGGTCCAAGGGAAGTCTCTAGCAGTAACTGTCAAAACAGAAGAAACAGCAGAGTTTGTAACAAAATATCCCAGGTGTTCTGGACCCCAGCATACCCTGCTGTCCTCTCACCATGCCAGGCTTCCCCTATGTCACTGTGCCACATTCTGGAAGACTAGTGCCCGTCACCTTCACCCCTTTTCTTCTCTTCTGTACTTTTGCCCAACATAGCAATATCTATAGCTAAGAAAGCAACTGTAACAACACAACCCATGAAGAACTACCATGAAAACGCCTGTCTGTACTATCCTCTACCCTACACCCAGACTCTTGGATCCTCTTCCTCCCCGCCCCCCAAAGCTGAAGAGAACAACAACCCCACCAAAGTTGGCACAAAAACTTTTGCTGCCCCAGAGAAGGCGAACTATCTTCCCAGTGAGACAGAGACAGAGTCTGACCTGAGACACAGCCACGGGTTCTTTCTCTAGCCCTTCCTCTACCTTAGCATCACCCACAGCATCTTGCTTTCAAGGCATTGCCTCATTTAAGTGATGGGCCCATAAAGCCTTCTATCCCTTAAATTCCCAGGGATAATGAGGGATATAATTCTACCATTAGGCCCGTGCAAGAGGACTCACCCAAACAGTAATAAATACCAACTGTTTTTGTAAGCCAGGAATGCTTGAGTCAGCAGCTGGCTTGAAGAAAACAGCTTAGACCCTTTCACCCACATTTGTCGGAGAAAGTAAACCAGTCAGGACACTCACCCTGGGACTCCTCCTTCTGGACCGATGTTGCCACAACGTTATGTTTCTATAGTCTGGAACTATTAAGCTACTCGTGGTGGTTCTTGTGTTTATTCTCAATTAGTCTTAGAGTGGATGGAAGAAGGAAGATGGGACATGGTCTGGAAAAAGGCCCATGGGAAAAGCAGTCGAGGCATCACTTACCAGTCATGTTACTTGTGATAACGTAAGGCCCATGTTCTACAAAGAGTCCAAACATGGATGAACCTCCAGGACCACCCTGAAGCCAGAGGACTACTGGGGCAGTCTCGGGCTGTATCTGGAGGGAACAGAGAAGCCAGTGAGCAGAAGTGCACCAAGGTTTCCAAGTACACCCAAGTGCACGAAGCCTCTGTCTCCCCCATCCTTGACAACTTTCTAGAATGCCCCTGGACCCAAGGGCCCCACCCTACTATAAATAAAGTTTGGTCACCTTTTCCTATTTGGGATTTACAGGTGCCCCCAAAGCTGGTGTCCTTCTGTGCAGCTAATAGCATCTTGCCATCTGCCTGGTCTATCCTCCAAGCATAGTAAGGGAATCAAATAACTTCTGTCCCTTCCTAGTTGTCTTAGTCCCTCATTCAAGTCCAGTCATTGCCAAAGTCCAGGTGACTGGACTCCTCCTCAGGACACTGTGAAGGAGGCTGTAGTGAGGGGCCAGACTAACTTATGAGGGCATCACTGGGAGCTGAAATCAAGAATCTGGAGGAGGATACATGAAGACACGGCTTTCCTGTCATCTAAGGTCTGGCATAGGTTCCCTCACCTGTTCTAGACCTTCTCTGAGAGTGTTCTTGGGAACAGCCATTGGCTATAGAATAGCCTTGACATGAGGGACCACCTCCAGACCCACTCTCAACTCTCAGGACTAAAGTGACATAGCTAATGCCCTTGGAGCATTCAGAAACAATAAATGTGATTGGTTGTTATAACTGTGGAGAGAGTGTATAAAGTGCTGAAGTCCACAGTCAGGGGGGCTTCTGGTCTGCAGGCCTATAGCCAGGGCTAGCCATAGGTCAGTGACAAATACCTGCACTAAACTCTCCAGACACAAGCCTGGGCTTCGCTTGTTCCCAGCTGGGTGACTTTAGGTACGATGCCTAAGCAATGTGGGCTTTACTTTCCACACCTGTGAAATGAGCATTGGCGCCATTATCAGCAACATGCAATTGACAGGAGACTGAATCATGTTCCATAAAACCTGGTGAGCGTCTGTGATATGTGTTCTGCAAATGCTATCTACTGCTGTAAAGAAAGGATGAACACCAAGGTTCAGCAGTGAACCGCACTCAATGCTTCTACAAACAGAACAATAGGAGAGTGCCCTGCTCGGCTTTCTCTTTGATCCTTTGACCCCTATCAAACCTGGATCTATTTTTCACTCTCTTATTTTCCTGCCTCAAATATTGACAAGGCACACACACACACACAAAAAAAAATCTGGTAGGGGTGCAGGGGCTTCTCTGTCAAGTCACAGCAGAAAACCCCAAACTGAAAGCAGTGTGTCAGAGCTGCTGTGAGAGAGGCCTGGAACCAGGAAGCTGTGACTTTACTTGATGACAGCTGTGGTGACCTGGCTCTCTGCTTCCACCTGCCTTAGCTTCCTCAGCTGCCCTATGGTGGCAGTGGCGATGGTGGTACAAGGGTCCCTGAGTGGTCTGCTGAAAAACTATGTTATACACCCTGTCCATCCTCCTTGGAGTCACTCACTGTGTGCTTTGCTTAGACTTGTGAGTTACCTCCTCTCAGAGCCTCTGTGCTCACCAGGCACCCCCATTCCCCACACTTTTATTCACCCAGTAGAGGGAGCAAACTCCACACAACAAGGGGTAGGTAGGAAAACCAGGGGAATAGGAAGGAAGTCATCCCCATTCTTCCAGCCTTCTGGGAATATGAGGTTCTGGGGTGCACTGACTTCAGGGTACTCAACCCCCAGGGCCTCCCTAGGTCCATGCATACTAGTGGTCCTCAAGCTTGCTCATATATTAAAATAATGTGGAAATGTCTTTTTAAAAAATGACTTCTGCCTCGCCTCAAGCCACAGCGGTTGCAATGCCATGGGGTGGAGCAGAGAGTGTCACCCTCAGCTTTTTCCTGAAGTTTCTTACATAACAAACAGGATGGGGACCTTCAAGGTGACAGAGATCCTGCTGTCTTAGTCTCCTAGGCAACTGGTCTCCACTCCCCTCTTCTCCCCCACCGTCCAGTGACCTGCCAGGGTTAGCGTTATCTCTAGACTCTCAGAAAAATAGCGTGGTCCTGAGAGGCCCCACTACAGGGCTAGTCAAATAGCAATGTGCCAAACAGGGTTCTTATGGAGCTGTGACGCACCCTGCATTCTTGAAATGTTGGAATACCAAGAGCCAGCAGGCCTCCAACCTCAGATGACCTCCCTGTTGGTGCTCAGCAGCCCGTGTACCAGCCTGTTTTTCAACAAAACCCTACCAGGTCTTTCTACCTTGATGAGCTGAGCAGCCTGTGTGTGCTTATACCATGCCTCAGTCAGATGCTGGGATGCGAAGGTGTATTTAATGCTATGTTCCCAAGAGTCAGTCATGGCATGACATGCTTCTGTGGTGAAGAAAGCATCCTAACCTTGACAGACAATACTCACTACGGCCACACTAGTGGCATGAAGCTCTTACAGATAATCCTGTGTGACTTTTCTGTAAGGTGAGGCCCTTCTCCTAGGAAAGAGGAGACTTTGACTGTGACATCCTGAACAAAACCACACTGCAAAGTTGGGGGCCAATGATATAAGAAACTGCTGCTCATTAGTTGCAGGTGGGGTAGAATTCAGAACTTTAAAAATATTACTCTCATCAAAGTTATGATTCAAGACATTTAGTTCTTCCCCAAAGGCTTTAAAGTCATTTTCCTCAATACATTTTGAATTTCAAGTAAAGAACTTCTTTTGAAATCCTATTACATGTATATACTATATATTACTATATATATATTAATGGGGAAGTTCTTAAGTATATATGTTTCTCTTATTTGTTGATGAATAAAACACTGATTGGCCAGTAGCCAGGCAGGAAGTATAGGAGGAGCTACCAGGCAAGGAGAAGGATAGGGAGAGGAGGCAAAGAGAAGCCATGAAGAGACGCCATGCTGCCGAAGGAGTAACATGCTGGATTACACGAGTAAGCCACAGCCTTGTGGCAATACATGGATTAATAGAAATGAGTTAATAATCAAGACAGAGAGAGCCAATAAGAAACTTGTGTGTTTATTTGGGGCAAAGCAGCTATGGGACCAGGTGGAACAGAAATCTCCATCTTCCATCTATCAATCTATCGATCTATCTGGCACACTTGTGGCGGTCAGGGAACAAGTCTTGGCAGCTGTTTCTCTCCTCATGAGGGCCTTGAGGGGCCAAGCTCACATCCTCGGGTTTAGTGGTGGGTATGTTTACGTGCTGAACCATCTCTCAGCGCTAGAGTATATGTTCTTATTCAGGATTTTTAAAGATCATTTTCAAAACTCCCTCTTCCTTTCCCAGTCTTACTCCCTGAAGCCGATCGTGGTGATGCCTGCAGACTCTTCTCTATACATGTGCCGTGTACACGGTCATCTTATGGATATTCCATACACTGTAGACACAGGTAAGCAATAAGATCTTGTTTCTGGGATCCTGGACCACAGGCTGTGGGCATGGCTCCACAGCATGAGTTATCACCACTGTGCTGCCCACATCTAGCACGGTTTATCTAACAGCGTGCACTGTCTGCTCTCAGGCTGCTCTCTCAAGCTGTGGGTTAGCTCCTACTCGTGGCCAGAAAAAAAATTGCACACTGATAAAGAGTGTGGATACCAGAGTCACTGTGCCAGGACAGGAGTTCCAACTTTATGCTACTTTATAGCTGGGTGTCCTAGGGCAAATTCCTTAATTTCTCTGTGTCTGAGTGCCTTCCGCCAGGGTGCCTTATGCCTGGGTGCTTTCTGCCTGGAAACAGGGTGTTAAGCATGTGTGAGTAGCAGGTACAGGCAGGGTCTGGTGCATCTTTTAAAGCGTCAGTTCCGATTGTTCCTTCTGACGGGTGGGAAGACAGTTAGGTGTAGCTACATATATGGACAGATGGGCAGAGGAACACGGGATTGATGGCTCAGAGGTAGGGCTTTTTCAAATGCCTCAGACCTCATAGATGAGTAATCCCACTGACAAAGACTTATTTATTTGATGACAAGGAAAAGAAGACTTCTAGGAACGAGTCATGGGTCTGAGTACCAACTATCGCAGGAGCTGCTGGAAGAAGGAAGGGGCAATGAGATGCGAAGGAGCAGGGGACTCCTGGATCTGTGGGTACCTAGAGAGCAAAAGAAGACAGGTGGACATGGGAAAGATGGGGTCCCAGAGGATGAGCCCTTCACTGGTGAGCAAGAAATAACTGTGGTGGCTGGGTGTTTAGACACACCCACAATCCCACTGCTTGGGTGGTGAGGACACGAGGGTTAAGAATTTATGTTGGCCTGGGCTACACAGAGTGACCCTGTCAAGAAGAAGGAAGGAGGGAGAGATGAAAAGGAGGGAGAGGAGGGAAGGGAGAGAGGGAAGGAGGGAGGGAGGGAGAGAGGAAAAGAGAAAGGAAGTGAGAGAGGGAAGGAAAAAGAAAAGAGAGAGAAAATGGAAAGGGAGAAAAAGAGAGCTGGAAAAGAAAAGAACAAGGCCCATTTTTCAGCTGCCCTCGCAATTCCTCTGGCGACCCCTGGTGGCCAGTCACAAACTTGGCTACTCCTTCCTCAATGTTTCTTGAATAATCAACAGCCAGCCCAGGGGGTCGGCACTTCCGTCCACTAGACTTTCTACACTAGCACATTCCACTGCTCACTATCAATGACTGGCAAAAATAAAAAAAATTATCCGGTACCTTTATGGATTGTCACTTGAAGGAAGCAAGATTTATGAGATCTGATCACTTTCCAAATACAGACACATCGGTCATGCTCCTAGACTTTTCAACCATGTCTCCACCCAGACCAGACCCCAAGCTTTGCAGCCATAGGCAGAACGATAGTGTATACATAACTTTCTATTTGTGTCTTACACATAGTACTGAAACAGAGAGTCAATACATCTAGAGTGGGGATTTAAAGTTTATTTTCTATGACTGCTATAAACACTATGACCAAAAGCAACTTGAGTAGGAAAGTGTTTATTTCATCTTACAGTTTACAGTCCATCATTAAGGGAAATCAGGACAAGAACTCAAGGAAGGAACTGAACTGAATCAATGACCATAGAGAAATGTTGCTTATTGGCTTGCTCAGCCTGCTTTC